TTTTTTTTTTTTTTTTTTTTTTTTTTGATGGACAGGTCCAGGATGATTTGCATATTTACTAATAATATACAGTATGTTTATACATAATTAATAGCACAACAGACCTGGTATGTGATTGTTTCTTATTTACTTATTTAGATATTTATGTACTTATTTATATATATGTATATGCTTTATTTGAATTGCTTATTTTGGTAGGACTAAATTGTTTAAATATGAAATGACATTGTCATTTAAAAGTACTGTGCACCAGATTGAATATCAAAAAAATTATTTCCAATTTTTTTTAAACTGGTTTTCCAAATATTCTTACATTTTTTGATCAAACTGGTAATCCCATCCTAAACCCAGGTACATGTCTTGTTTTATTTTACGTTGTCGTGTGCAGGGTGGCGATGAAGAGTTCAGAACTGCTGTTTCTCTACGGCCAGTTGGACCCTCGTGTTCGGCATCTGGTGTTCAGTGTGCGGTGCTGGGCTCGGGCTCATAGTATCACAAGCAGTATTCCAGGAGCATGGATCACCAACTTCTCTTTAACGGTCATGGTAGTGTTCTTTCTACAACAGAGGAATCCTCCCATACTGCCCACACTGGACCGACTGAAGGAGCTGGCAGGTATACACAATTGTCCTTTACAGCCATGCTTTTCTGCAGTTTCTTGTCTATTGTACTACACTGCCATACAAAGGCAAAGGACAGTAACTACACATTTGGTCAAAACTGAGTTATGACTGAAACAGGATCTCTTAGATTATGTTCTGTCCTGTGACGGATGAGTTTGGCTCAGAAATCAAAGTGTAAAAAATAATAATAAATAAAAACAGAACTCAATTAAAAAATCAAAAAGCGATTTTTTTTTCTCTGCTCCAGTGTTGCTTTTAAAAATAAATAGCACAACCATTTACAAGAGTGATAATAATAAATGTTTTTTAGTATCAAATCAACATATTAGAATGGTTTCTGAACAATCATGTGACGCTAAAACCTAGAGTAATGGTTGATAAAAATTCAGCTTTTCCTTTATGTAAATAAATTACATTCTAAAATATATTAAAATTAGGGATGCACCGATACTGGTATCGGTATCGGGCCGATACTGAGCTCCTGTACTCCTACTTGTTCAAATGTCCCGATACCAAATGCCGATACCACACAGCATGTGATAAGTGCCATATTCAGACAAAAAGACACCGACATCAGACAGCAGAATGGAGAGATTAAAGATGTCTACGAAGTATATGTATGCAATGAATATAAAACATTCAGTATTAATGCCTGTATAGCTGATTTGCGCCAGCTGGTAAGCAAATCACTCTGAGTGGATTGAGCGCGCGGCGGCGCAGATGCGCGAGCTTGTCGAGTGAATATCCCTTTCTCAAAGACATCACTGGAAAGTTTGTAGTTCGGTCGGATATGTCAAAAAGAAGTAAGTAAAACAATGCACAAGTTACTTAATGGTAGGGAGAGAGAGAGCGCACTTCTGTTGTGTGATATTTATTGATGTTCGCTCACTTAGCACGCATCATTTGGATTAAAACTAAATCGTAACTATAAGACAATTTATAGGGGCATTCACTATAAACGTCATTTATTTTCACCCTTAAGCATGCACGACTTTCTGGCGAAAGTGAAGCTAACGGCCTGTGTGGAATGCGCTAGGCTGTACTGTACTTGTCCCTCTCATTCTGCACCAG